GTTTTTTTGTTTTTTTGTTTTTTTTTTTTAGTCAATGAGATCATTCTATAAGCTATGGATCAGTCCTCAATTTAGGACCGAAAACTGGTTGGACTGGTCCAAAAGACCGGTCCGGACCATGGTTCTTGCAGGACTAGGTTTACTTAATACGAAATCCAGTTCAGGTGCACTTTTACTATACTTATTATAATTAATTTAACCCATATTTCGAAATAACGCACATGGGCGTACTCGAAATAACGCGCAAGTGGACGTTATTTCGAGTTTACACGGTATAAGCTTATAAATATTCATTTGAATAATGTATAATTTCCCCTCCTTTTCTTCTAATTTCCCATCTGCCAAGATTTACAATATATAGTACAGCAGTAGTATAGTACGTATTTCCCATCTAAAGCTTACCGAATATATAGTTAATTTCTTGTACCACATTTAGTAAAGGATAATTTCTATAAATGTACACAGTAATTCTTAGGGAACCACTTTTGTACGTTTGCATCTTTAAACGTTAATCATTTAAATCAACTTACGATGTCTTCAGAAAAAGATTGTGATCAAGAGGTAAAATATGCCACACTATGTTCCTAATTCTAAAATATCTTCTAACAAGGATTTCCTATAGATTACTCATCAACATCACGCTCCGTACTTGAGCGGCTTAGCTTTAAAAATCTTGATACCTTTGCTTGAACATGTCCCCGGGCTATCAAGTTATTTTTACTGGAACACTGGATTAAAAGTTCTGAGAAATAGGTCCTATATAGAAGAAATGACTGTAGTGCCATTACCTTTACCAAAAGAACTATTTAATATTGAAAACCCAAAGGTATTTTAACAAAATACACAGATGTAGTTACGATATACGTATCTGTTTAATTCAGTGTATACATATGGTCGAAATCATTTCGGTTTGAACCGAAAATATTACGGCTTATGTCGTAATTAGTTTCGAATATGAGCTAGGTGCTGAAAAAAGGGACGAAATTGACAATTTTTTCAAAAGATGTTTTTTTTGCATAAATCAATTTAGAATAAGATTAAGATCATTTTTCACTTAAGATACAAAAGAAGTTGTATCAATAAAATTTTGCATTATAGCTCTTTAAAGTTTGTATTTTCTTATGATTTATTATAAGATTTACAACATAAAAATTGATTTTTTAAAAGATCTGTTTTTTGGTCAATTTCGTCCCTTTTCTCAGTACCTAGCCCATATAATTCAGTGCTGTTTGATTGTCATACACTAGACTGGATTGGATTATATCCAATTCTAATCGAACATATTCTCAATTGATAACATTAAAGTTTTTATTATTCTCTCCAAGATACATTGTTTTATCGACATATCTTGATTATGAAAAATGTTCAATCAATGTATTTCGTTGACACGTGTTTAACTCGTAATACCTTATAATACTTGTAATAGGTAGTCGATGGGTTGGAAATTTTTAACCAGAAAACGAAACCACATAATCAAATTCAAGAAACAACAGTACGAAGGATGTATTAGCTAATATGTAGATAAGATTACTAATTATCAGCGTTATCATTATGAATTAAGTGGTAAATTTAGCACGTTGGCTTTTATGACCAATCAAACAATTTCAGGCTCTAAAGATTGCTTCTGCTCGATCATATATGGCAATATGAATAATGTTATAATGATGTTCTAATTTACATGTAATATTTTACCGGATAAATATTATTTTAAACATATCATTACATTTATCAAAAGATGAACGACAATAATAACAGATAATTCAAGGTCGTTTTCAAATTGTTAATGCTGTACGTGTCAATTTAGTTTATGATCATAAAGATTATTATTACAGTTTACCCTGTCAAAACTGATATGAATGGTAGGTAAATTTTGTCAGGTCAGTTTTTAACAGATTATCAGTTTTGACATGATCGGTTTTGACAGGGTGAACTGTATTATATTTATTTATATTTATGCATATTTAAAATAACAATTAAGTTCCTAACTATCTTCACAATTACTCAGATTCCAATTGCATTTGTTTAGTCTGCAAATGTAAAAATAATTTACTAATAACATGTCGAAACGTAAAGATCCTAACTTAATGAGATCTGTTAAACTACTACGTATGCTGATTAAATCAAACAAATAACCTCTGCATAGAGACAGTGATTAGACCATCAACTCGTAACTCGAATAACTCGTGATTCGAGTCATGTAATTTTAACACTCAAGTCATAATATATTATACAGTTACTTTTATAAATAATTTAATTTTTGTAACTCTAACATGAGTTTAACTTGTAAATCACGAGTTGAAGTGTCCAATCACTGTCTCAGCAAAAGGAAATAACTAATTGATTAAAAACTTTAAGGAAGCTTTCCAATGCTGAAGATTAAATTATATATTTGGTGGTTTCATTTGCAAAATTAAAAATCATGTATTAATTATTTAACAACATATCGATCCTAAAACCTAACGATGATACGTCATATGTAAAGCAAAAGTTGTGACAATACAGTCAGACTTCTTTAACTGCACCCACACTTTAACAACGTGCATTTAGAGAATAATAAGATAAAAGTGCATTTATAAAGGTCAAGTATATATTTGGGCCAGGATTTGAGCGTGCATTTAGAAAGGGTGTGCACTTATAGAGGATGCACTTAGAGAGGTCTGACTGTAGTATGTTTGCATTGATATATTATTCTCAATGTTCTCAAGAATATTAGAATTATAACGATAAGATCTATGCATGCCAATCAAATCTCTCGCCTTTACATGTGATAAGCAGCATCGTATCACACGTATCGATCATCATATATCAGATAACGCCACGATTTTCACGTTGAACCTGATCCTGCACCCTGATTGGCTGATCAGGGGGTAACGTTTCTTTTTTAACGTTAATAGTTTAGAGCTTTATCCAATATTTTTGACTTTTTGAGACAGTCAAGAAACAATAACAATATTAAAAAAAAAAAGGTGATAAAAAGGTAGGGTAGGGACTCACTTTGATATTATAGGAATGGTTTACGAATTATGGCTCAGTCTTCGTTTTGACCTTTTTAATTTTTTCCGGTTTTGAACTTTCATAAAGGTTTCATCCTCTTCATATCCGATTTTAAAGTTTCGTCTTTCGTCAGAGGTATTTGGGATCCGTCAAGATTTTGTCTTTTGTCTCGTCATTACGCAGAAAATGTTTCGCCTAGCAACTTTAGGTATCACTAAAAGTCATCAAGTGCTCCTCAATTCTATTGGATTAATTCGCGGAATGAAGGTTAGATCATCTGTGAAAAAATTATGTGATGGTTGTTATACCGTTAGAAGACGTGGAACTGTTTTTGTACTTTGTAAAAAGAATAAGAAGCATAAACAGAGGCAAGGTTAATTATATGTAAAGACTATTGGATTTTTTTTTTTTTTCAAGTATGATAAACTAAATGGCATAGTTGAAAGCTATATAATATTGAATAATGAATAGGTTTAATTGACCTAAATTCCTTTATTTGTGGATCTTAAATCTATTTATTTATCGCTGTTTTCGAAATGATTGAAAATGGAAATAACTTTTTTTTAGCGTACACTCATACGCTCGATTACCTTAGCATGTAATTGTTCAGAACAATTACATAAAATCGGGCATCGTTCTTAAATCAACATGCTAAGGTAATCGAGTGTACGAGTGTACGAGTGTACGCTAAAAAAAAAATTATTTGCCATTTTCAACCATTTCGAAAACAGCGATAAGTAAAACTAGGGATGATAAAAAAAACGAGTTAAACAGTTTTTTATACGTTTTTTATTGTTTTAAAAATTGTTTTAAAACATCGGCTTCTGACACTGAAATTTAGCTGAAACTAAAAATCCTACTATGGTTGGTTAATTTCAGTTCAGTTAATATGGTTGAGAACATTGTCTTTAGGAAAAGTGTATGGTTTTTTATAATTCTCGAGTTTATTACAGATAACATGTAAAAACAATTGCGGAAGAATTATAAGAAATGTATTTGATCGTTTTTTTTTTTTTTTGTATTGACTCTAAGTTACTTTTTAAATGAGAAATTTCTATTGACTAAGTACAACTTACTGCATTTAATATTATATTAAAGTTCAAGAAGATATATGTATGTATAAATTATCTTTGAAAAGATTTACTATATAAATCTTGTTGAACAAGTTCTTGGGATAAATGGCTTAAAGATTAAAAGCGATGTAATAAAAACAAATTATCTCTTCCAAGTCAATTATTATTAAAGTCGCCATCCTCACTATCATCATCAAACCAATCATCATTATGAATTCTTAAGTTTTGGATAAACAGTTACAACCGATCATTATTCAAATACGCACGATGTTTGTTATGAATAAATCCGAAATTAGACAGTAATGTTCTGCAGCAGTTAAAGAAACTGGAATTGAAATAACCTAGCAGACAAATTCAACTACTGAGGAGGATTTATTTGAAAATTCGATTTCCACCAATTTAAAAGTTCATAATCGTAACGGTAATGTCGTGCCTGAAGTTGGCACTCGACTAAAGTTGGAACCTCAGTTGCACCTGACTGAAATTATCCCCTGAAATTAGGTGCCAACTTCAGGCAGATGTCAACTTCAGGCACGACAGTAATAACAGATAAGTGTAATTTTAGATCATGATTACGTTTAATCAATCATGATTTTTAAAAATCGTGGTTTAAAAACATTTGCCATCCCTAAGTAAAACCATAATGCTTTTTGTCTTAAAATAATCTGTGCCCTCCATCAAAATCAAAACAGCATCACGGCGAATTTATGAAATTAAGCTAAAATTCGGTCACTAAATCTGAGTATTTGGTCCCCAATTTAAATTTTAGTTACCAAATGGCATAAATAAATCAATGTTAAACTCCGAAAAAGTTTTTTGGACCTCTGACCTTGATTGATAACGCGTCTGACCCATCTTCCCACGTGCTAACCATCTT